TATCAGCATCCAGTGAATAAATAATGCACCATGTTTTTTCTCCCACACCGTTAACATTTGATCCCTGCTGCACTTTAAGGAATAGAAATGTTCTGAAACCCCGCCTCTCTGTCCAGGGTGGACCCCGCCTCTCGCCCATTGACCGCTGGAGATAGGCACTAGCACGCCTCGCGACCCCACTCTGGATAAGCATGCTAGAAAATGGATGGTTGAATGGATATTCCTTTCCTATACGTACACTTCATGTTTATAAAAGGACAATAAAAGTTGTCTACCTCTAACAGAAATGGCAACTATAAAAAAAATATATAATAATCGGAAGTATACTCTCGACACAAAAACTTCCAAATGTAAAAGAAAATAATGTAATTCAAATATTTTAAAAAATGAAAGGAAATAATCAAGTAATAAACTTAGAAAATAAGATACATTAGTGACAATAGAAAAGAAATCAAACCTTTTTATAAATTATTTCCCAAAGTATATTTAATTAATGACACAAATATATAGTCCTGACTTACAGGTGAAGATGTTCAGTCAGGATCAATCATCTTAGTGTTTAGAAAAAAGCTTAATTAAGTTAAAAAATGCTGCTTTTAATCTAAGCTGCCAACCATAGAAGACACTGAAGCTCAGTCTGTCCATCAGTTTAATAAAGAAATATTTTAGTGACTCTGCTGAGAGCAGCTAAATGCTACTAACTGATACATGGCTACCAGCAGACAGTTTCCATCCATTCAGGACCAGAGCGGAGGCGGCTCACTGGGGCTCTGGATGATATATGCTGAATCTCTGGACAAAGAGACACGGGGGCCATTTCTGACTATAGAGGAAGTCGGATAACAAGGTTAGGATTTTCAGGATTCTTTTAGGAACTGTTTCTTTTTTTCTGTTGCTCTGTAGCAGCTCTGCTCTGACAGCATGAGGCATCAACGCTCCAGAGACCCGACCGGCTGGTTCAGATTGGACAGACCTCTGCATCGTCTCTGACTAAAGACTAAAAACCATCAGCTGTGTTCTTCACCTGCAGGTCACAGTCAGGACGTAAGAATCAAGATTTCTGATCTGGGTTCAGGATGTGGCGCCGCCCCTCAGGAGCAACCGGCACGCTGAGCTCACGCTCCAGCTCTAAACTGAACATAAGGAATCACGATTCAACCAAAGTCCAACTGGATCAACCAGAACCCGACCACTACTGAGTCCAGAGACCCCCACAGGGAATCAGTCGGCTCGCAGTCTGTAACGGAAGCGGACGTCGGAGGAGGGAAGCAGGATTCCCAGTCCGGCTCTGCTGGAGTCCAGGCGGGGTCGGTTCTGCCCGTCCTCCAGCTGCAGGTCAAAGTAAAGCAGCAGCAGAGAGACAAACTGCTTGATCTCGTTGATAGCGAAGTATCGTCCGGGACACATGGACGAGCCGGAGCCGAACGGCATCAGGTAGTAGCGGAGCTTCTGTCCGTCCTTGAAGAAGTCTGTCTTCTCTCTGCCGTCCTGGACGAAGCGGTCGAACCGGAACGTCTGAGGAAACAGGAGGAAGACGGATGAAATCTGGACCGGGTTCTGAAAAGAGGTTTAAAACTGGAGAAGTTCAG